CCCAGCAAACGTGAAGGACCACTTTTAAATTTTGATTAATGCCTTGAAAACATTTCATTCATTTGCAATTTATGCCAGATGTTTACTGCGTATGTAGAATAGGACCCAAAATTCTTAAACCCAGATTTCAGAAAGGAATGAGAATCATGTGGACCTCTATGTGTTGCTAGATTACAATTCTCAGCACTCCTCATTACTGATTATGCTAGCTAGGGCTGCTAGGAGATGAGGTACATCAGGAAGGCTCCCGTGATTCCCAGCCCTAATTAATACATTGCCCATTAAAAGTCATTTTTCACTCTCATCAACAGATTACTTTTTTGTAATAGTTTCAGTTTTAAACAAAAAAAATGTTATAATAGATGCTGGTCTGCAAAGAGACTTCTTAGATTAAATGCAACAATCCCATCATAATTAAGTAACTACCAGAATTTAAAGAGGGAATTATCAAATGGGAATTGCCAAGTAATTATTTCACTGAAGCAGATAATATACGGCTTCTAAAAAGAAGGCCTACCTCTTAGTCATATGTTAGAACTAGATCTTACTAATCTGTAAATAAAATCCAGCATATGATTAAAACCAGATTGGTTCAGCCATTAGGGGTATGCTAATAAAAAACCAAAATATAATAATAATAATAATAATAATAATAATAATAATAATAATACTTTATTTGTATTCTGCATTACTTCAGCATTATGTTATAACACCACATTTCTCCTGGGGGGACACACCACCCAAAACAGAAACGGCTATATCCAAGAATAAATAAATAAATAAATAAATATATCCTTGCTCTGTTTTCATCATGGATACCTTCCTAGTTAAATCCAGGGAGATGGTTTTATGATCATATCACACATTTATTAGCATGCCAGAAGATGATTCATAACATCAAAGCAATGGAAGTACAAAAGCCATTCATACAAACAATTGTATGATTCCATGAAGAACTGGAAAGACAAGGGCCTGCCTAATGAAGTTTTTTAAAGACCCTACCCTCTTTCTTAAACTTTGTGAGACTATTCATTTCTAGAAAAAATACGAATGTTGTTGTCAGTATATAATGCTGTGATTGAGACTTGGCTCAATGTCATTACACGCCTCTATAGAGCCTATAGATGAGAGCCTCTCACTTGATAAAATTGTAGAGGCAGCAACTTTGGCCATAAAATTAATGTAACAAAATCCTGAGCATACATCACAGAAATACCTTTATTAGGTCAACCAAAAGGCTTTTTCATCAGGCCTAGATGGCAAAAACCATTAAGTGAACAAAGTGACACTGTCAGTTTCGCTATCTGTACTTTGCTTATGATATCTTCTTAGGAGTTGCTTGAAATGGTCTCAAGAGAAAGTCACTGGACTGGCAGTAAATAAGTGAAGGATTGGCTGCTGCTAGGTGAAGTGGCCCTCTGTGATGTCACTGGGAAAGAAAAGTGACCTGTGTATGAGGGGAGGGGGTAGAGGGAGGGAGGACCATGTTGCACTGAAGACATTGTGAGATAGACCCTCTCAGAGCTGGAAAAGAGAGAAAGAGGAAGGGAAGCAAGGAAGGAAGAAGGGAAGGAAAAAAATAATGAAAAAATAAAAGCAGGGGGCAGCAGCCCCTCTAACACCCAAACACCACTAGGTATATCTGCTCCTTCTGGAACAAAATTGCAACTAGGGAAAGATTCTAATCCTTGCCACTAGAATTAAAAGAACAAGAGTGGAGAGCATCTTGTGCACCTAATGATGAAATATTGCGTAGTACTAGATCTATAAAGATAAAAAGGATGAATGTCATTTTAAAAAGGAGTTTAATTCTTACATTCCATCTAAATCTGAACATGAAAATTTCAGCTCTCAGTTCTAAGTAAGTCAGTTTCACTCTTTTAGGATGGAAGATGGGAAAGATGCAAGCCAAACATAGTAATATCAGGCTCTTAACACTAAAACTAAACAAAAACATCTTTTTAAATGTCTTAAGAATTGTGACTCCCAGTATTACAGCATTTGCATATTTAAAATAATAATAATCATCATCATTCTCTAATTATGAATTAACTAGAAAAAAGTCATATTGGAACTGATGCTTTCAATTCAATATAATTTTCTCGTCTTTATTTTCACACTTCCCTATATAAGTAAATTCATAACAAAATACTGCTGGAGACAGACAAATCACTGAATCAGCTTACAAAAAGACAGCAGGGGGCACTAGTCTTCCCATCTGCAAAACGACTTCCGTATTTTGAAAAAATGTATTTTCAGATCTTAACTCAAATAGTAGTATCATCACAAATGTCAGCTGCATAAAAATACATTTCAGGAGACACTGGGACCACCTCAAATAGGTTACAAAATTTCAAAAATAAAAAAACTAACTGCTGCAAAATAAACTGCCTGGTGAGGAACACTGCCAAATGTACTAACGTCAATCACCTCTATTTAACATTTACACATTCCCAATGTAACAAAGAAAGCTGCACTAAGCTTTAATTATTGAATATTCTTGGAGGCTTTTTTCAAAGCGTGCATCACGCTTTTCATTTTTCCAGATCAGGAAGACAATGACATGGAGCCCAGACTTTTGCAAACTTTGCCAAGAGTTACAGTCTATTGAGCACAATGCAAGCCAGTAGAATTTTCTTGTCAGAATGGAAGAATACTGCTCATGTTGACATAATCCCAGTTTCATCCTCAATCCCCTTATAAATGCCACTCTTACCATAATGGGTTTTGCCCATAACACTAAATTATCCCTGCAGAATGTAATGCAATAAGCCCCCCACTTTGGTGCAGGCTAAGGGCAGAATGCACCCATGAAAATGGGGAAACTATTTTTTGTCTGAGGGAACACTTCTCCAAGCATTTGTAGGTACTTCAGTACTACTCTATGTCAATGTCTGTTATCAAAAGAAGAATTCTCTCTAGAAATCTTAAAGCATTCCAGTACAACTCTATGGCCAACTTCCAGAAGTTGACCATAAAATTGCACTGAAATATTTAGGGATTCCTAGCTGAAACATTTTAATAAAATCAGCAGATAATCAAATTCATGAATAATCAAAATCTGCAAGTTAAACCCACAAATGTGAAGGGTCAACTATACTGGTTCAGGATTCAATTGATGAAAATTGATAAATGTGGTGCAGAAACATATTTCCGCAACATGCTTGAAGCTTCCACAACTTACTGAGAACTGATTAGGAATGATAATTTTCTCTGTTACACACAGACATTTTATCAAGCTAGTAGAACACTCAAATGTTAATTCCACAAATGAGCTAACTTATAAAGATGGTACTGATCTTGCAGCAGGAGTGGGATAGGAATTTCCTCCCCTAGCTCCATAACACACAGTAGCTCTTGGAACTACCCAAAGACCAGCTCTAGATGATTTCCAAGCTACCTAATGCTGATTTCTGAAGTATAAAGGAGATTTAATAGCAAAAGGGAAATTGCCACCTTCCTGTTTCTATTGGAAGTCATATGTTCCAGCAACCAAAATCAGATCCCGTCCATTGAGCTCCAAACCTATGCACCCTGTGAAGTAATGCATTTTGTAAAAATCTAGCTGTGACTGCCAACTAAGAGGCAGGGAGTGTGAGAGTTCACAGTGAAGCCTATGAAAAACTATAACAGCGTAAATCAGTAACAATGTTATAATGGCCAGGCTATTACGGACCTCTATGCAAATGTGGCACAGTGCCTGTGCATAGAAACCCAGCCTCTACACAGCAGTTTGCTTTAAGAGCAGCAACGGTGGCTAATTTAGAGCTGTTGGCTCCAGATAAGCATTACTGCTATTAGCACATAACTTATCCCACCTGATGTATCTGTCAGACAGTTTTCCTTCCAAAAACAACAAAGGGAATAAATATTTCAACTAGCATCAATCATTCAGAAACAAGGACTATTCCTCAGTGACATGATTCAAACATGCTTCATCCATTTAAGCCAGAAACAATATACCGTGCGTTGCATGCCTTTACACGCAAATATTTCTTGAAATTATTTTCCTTTACAACACCCCGGCTCACAGCCACAATAAAATAGACATTATGTGCCGCATCATCTAATAAAACATTCTAAATGCATTTGAAAGCTCTTCCGAGGAAATCTTTATCAGATTTTCATAAACAGAATCAAATAATAAGGCAATTTTCTGGATTTAAACAAAATTTTCCACCCTTCAGCATGCTGGACCACTGCCAGACAAACAACTATAACTTTAAAATATTGTTCATACCAGTTAAAACCTATTAAACAGAGATGATAGTAGAAAAAGAGATATGTTATTTCTGGTACCAGTTACTCATTTCATGATATTATATTTCATGAAAGTTATATTCTCATATGCTAAGTCATTAGAAAACAAACACACAAAACAGAAAACTTGAATAGTTCTCTAGCTTTGAGTCTGATGACTCAAAACTTAAAAAAAAAACTATGTTTTTTTAAAAAGAAGTAAAATGTGGACAGCAATTATTTTATGTTTTATTTCACACAAATCAAATACTGCCCACACATACTCTTTATATTTGTGTCTGATCAGATTTATCTAACTTTAAGATAACCACCTATCCAGACAGTAGACTGCCACCTCAATGACATGAACTAATGAACAACATGAAACATAAAACTATTTAAATCTGTGAGTGTGTGTGTAGATGAAAATAAAACTTTTTTCTTTTCTCAGGACAAAGAGAGAGATCTACAGCTACAATAACATCTTAAAGTTTGTTAAGAAAGCATTAGGTCTTGGGAAAGCATTCTAAAATTTGGGGTGCTGCTGTGTGTATGTGATTGCAAGGACTAGAGAAAATGACAATCATTTTGTATACAACGGGACATTATCCAGCAACCTATGAGAGAGGCATTAGTATCTAATGTATCCAAACCCAATATTACTGATTGATTGATTTACCCTATTTATACCCCACCTTTCTTTTAAAGTTTTGTTACAAAGTATAGTACATGAAAAGACAAAGAAGGCTTTTAACTTTTACCTTATTTACATAGCATCTTTCAATGGGGAAGATAACAATAATGGACGTGGTGGTTGTCTTTGAGAGGTCAAGAAACTCAGTGCTTGGATCGCCTGTATGAGTTGCGATGAGTGTTGCTCTAAAAACTGAAGAAAAAAAATAAAGAAATGTGTTAATTTACCACTTATGGAGTGCTAGAATGCACCCAGCAAAAACATGAAGCATGTTTAATCAGAGAAGCGTTTTAATCCAAGATGATTTTGCCATTATAAGCCAATTAAACTACCATTCTATACACTTTTACCTGGGGGTGAGCCCCATGGAATTCAATGAACTTACTTCAAAGTTGACGTGCCCCAAACTGTTCAATTATCCTTTAAGATAATATGGCTAGGCTCTTTGTTATGTTTACATAAAAGACTAACATCAATATCAGTATGGAAACAAAGCTGACATTTTAATTATTTTTAAATGTGCCAGAACATATTTCAGATTCCAGAAACTGAAGTAGACCCATAAACCTTTTTATTTGTTTGTTTGTTAGAAAACAAACTGGATTAATTGAAATTGTATTCAACTCCAACCTCTGATACTCAATATCTATAAAAGAATTTTTACATAGTAAATAGTTATTAGTTACTAAATAGTTACATACAGAATCTTACATTTATTTTTCATTTTGTCAGTTTTAAACCAAACCCATGTTTTTAGAACAGGGAAGTAGAATATGTGACCATTTAGATGTTGCTCAACTACAGCTCTCATCAACCTAACCAGTGTAGCCAATAGTGAGGGAAGATGGGAAATACAATCCAATCACATCTGTAAGGCCACACATTGCCCATTCCTTCTTTAGAGGAATGACAAGCTCATATATGTTTGCATATTTAATTGATCAGATTTTAATAAAATTAAATTCTCCCAAAGCGCATATTAGTTGAGTATCCCTTATCTGGAAAACCAAAATCTGAAATACTCAAGAATCTGAAAATTTGTCCGCTACCCTCTGCCTTTGAGGTAGCAACTTTGGTAATCCTGCTTGTTTATTCACAAAGTAGAAGCAGCAATTGGTGAGTTTCCGAGAAAGAGGATAGAGATAGACACAAGATTTCTGCAGTGAAAGGAAAAGTAAATTTAAACATACTTTTAAATTACTAAAAATATTGTATAAAATTACCTTCAAACTATGTCTATAAGGTGTATAAGTAATAAAATTCAATTTTATGTGTAGACTTGAGGCTCATCTCCAAGAATAAGACCATATATGCAAATACAGATGTGCCAAAATGTGGGGGGGGGGATCCAAAATTCAAAACACTTCTGGTCCCATGCATTTCAGCGAAGGGATACTTAACCTAAGGTGCCCAGAAGGCACAGTGCATGAGAAACTGCAACCTACAAAATCAGGAGAACTGCACACATATTTTCCTTTTTGTAAAACAGATAGATGCATTTACTACAAGTGCTAGGAAACCTGTATGTGAGCATTCATGACACTTTCACATTAGGGAACCACTCAGGGGAGGAAGAATTGCCTCTACCCATGAAAAAAGTCCTTCCTGACAATTGATTGCATCGTCAAACAAACGCTGTTCTGAGTGGAATATTACTGGAAAAGCCTACACAATGGCTTCTGAGTTATGCTCAACAGCAGCCAGTCTTGGACAAGTATCACATAGCAACACCATGCAAACCAGTTAGACAATGAAGAATCAGGCAAAGCAAGCATTGTCAAAGCAATAGTGGGGACAGCATGCAACATTTTCTCTTGAAGACTGTTTGGCAACTACAGAATTAGGTACTGACACACTGCTGTCTAGTTCCTTTTAGTGACCACAGATGATGAGATTGATCATAATCAACAGCCTAAAGAAAGGACTTAAACCAATTGTATGATCCTAATGGGAAGAGTCTTCCAATTAACAGGAAACTTTCAGAAATCAAATCTCAACTAACAGCAAACTATGCAGTAACATTTATTACAATAATATACTATTGGACATGCTAGAATTTAATGTGCATATACACAAATATATACATGCACTACATATTTGTATATAAGTCAACCTAATGTATAAGTTGAGGGCATGTTTTGTGGCCAAAATCATGAATTTTGCCATATCCCATAGATACGTGAAGGGTAAAGCTTAGGGACATTTTACAAACAAATCCTTTTAAAATGAAGAGTGGGAACGCACTTAAGCAGAGATAAAGAGAAAGAGAGGATCTTTTTTTACTTCAGGTGTTACAATGAGGACATATAAACTACACTACTCATCTATATACATTTGAGATGGAGTGGAATGGTTGCAGACATTTCTAATAAGGGGTTTCTGCATAAGCCTCTCTGCAGACTGTGGCAGCAATTTTTAAAAGGGCTTATTGTCTGCCCGTATTAAAAATGGAAATCACTGTCTCTGAAGCCCTCATACAGCAAGCACTGAGTCGCCCAAGGGCTGAGAAAAGTGGTATATAAATCAAGTAAATAAATAAATAAATAAATAAAATGGCCACCACCACTCCTCTCCATCTCCAGCGGCCAAAATGGAGGGCTTATCACATTCTTCAGGTTTCCCATGTTACTGCTGAATGATGTTTCAGGGTAAAAGAATTGAGTAATGAGGTAGGAATGTCTTTCTTTATCTGGTTTGGGTAAGGGAGGAGTAATGGGTGAAAGAGTCCCACCTCTGCCTCTTATCCCTGCCTGTGTACTGTGCCTTTGTGACTTACCCATGTGTAACTCGACCCAGTTTTTTGGGTCAATTTTTTGAAATTATTGATATATACACAAGAATATATGGTGCACGTATGATCTGAAAACACAACGGAAATACCCAACAAAATCAATTAGTGCAAAACATTAAACATTAATCTTACATTTTATTAGTCTTAGTGTCAGTCTTTGTTATGTGCATTTTAATATATACATTTAAATAGTAGTATATTTTATAATATTTTATATTATATCCAGCCTCAAGGCATGAGGAGAGTCAGGTACCTTATTGTGATTATTATGGTTGTTATTAAAATATTTGTCATTATCTATTGAGATGTGACGTCATCAAGCTTCCCACAGAAAATCTTTAGCTTAAACAATGTTAAACACAATGAAGTAATTTGCAAAGAAAGCCCAAGGACCACCTGAAGAGCTCTATCATTTCTTTGGACCAGATCTACAATTTATCATGTTATTCCTGACACCGTAAACTCAACATTCACAGTATGAACTAATAGAAGTGTCAAAAAATATATTACATTGCTCCTTTCTTTGGTTGCATTTTTTACAACACATACACTAAAAGCAGTTTTTTTTCTTGACAGCTTCAAAGAAAGCAGCTAAGCTTTCCATTTTTAAAATAATGCATAGCCTTGTGTGTATGCTACACACAGTGTATACTATACACAGATACATAGATTAATACTATTCAAAATTTTAACAGCCTTGTTCACTTTTCATTCAGATTAAGCAGAGAATTTAATTACACAGGGCAAAATGTACCACAAAAATCTTTTGTGCAAGGCCAATCAATATAAGCTTTGTGCCAAAGACATTTCCTAGAGGATTGTGGTCCTGAGTATTAATCTTATCTCTAAAAATCATAGAATCATAAAGTTGGCAAGAACACAAGGACCATCCAATGCAATGTCCTGGCATGCAGAAATACACAATCAAAACACTCCTGACAGATGGCCATCCAATCACTATTTTAAAACGCTCCAAAGGAGACTCCATCACAGTCAAGGCAGAATATTCCACTGCCAAGCAACAGTCAGGAAGATCTTTCTTAACATTTAGGTGGAATTTGTTTTTTGTGTAGTTTGAATCAATTGCTTCAACAAACCTTGTTTCCTCCTTAATATGAAAGGACCCTGCAAAGATGGAAGATCAGTTGATTACCACCACTGAAAAGGTAACCTTTCTTTTATAAAGTTAACATCTAGATGCTCACATTATAAAAACCTGTATAATTGTTCTTTAAATTCCAGGGAACAATTTTGTCTACATTGTGTGGATTATATCCAAAAGTGTTTGTTTTTCATTTTTAAGAAGTCTGGATATTATAATGAAAACATTAATTATTAATGAGATGCTTTCATGTCATATTTTAATTAAAAGCTGTATATTGTGCTATTCTTTGTAAGTAATAGCATTTAGACAGCTAGCCATGCAACACATATTTTAATATTTAGTAAAGGAAGCTTTTAGTGACTGGGACATATCTGGAATTTAATTTTTGTATGTGTGATTAACCTTAGCTGTTGCAAGATGTAATCGTCCCTGGGAAGTATGAAGTTTTCCCCATCTATATCTAACTGTCATAATTTGGCAGTGTACAATTCACATTTGTCTCATTACATCAATTCACAATAAGAGGCAGCATATATTGCAACCTTAGACATGTCAACTCAAAGGTAAGTATAGTTCAAGTCTCTTATTTAGGGATTATCTATTTTTTGAAGTGAACATACTGTATAAATTGTCTCTAAATAGTTAATTATTCAACAGTTTATCAGTCAAGAGCTCAAGGATTCCCACAACTCATGGTCTCCTACCAAATAATGAAACCAGTAAATATTTAGCCAATATTCTCTATTATAACAGTAAAGGGAAGGAAAAGTGAGGCCTGCTTTTGCTCCCACAGAGACTAATAGAAGTAAGCAAGCCATGTGACTGTCAGAACAAAAATTAGATCATGTAGTTTCCTTTAGAAGACAGCTTATTCTACTGCAAAATACTACAGCTTATTCCCTTGCAAAATCCTACATTCGATATATGATTCAAGCAATCACAACCAGGGAAACTATTTATAATATAATCTTTAAAATAGGAGCCTTTTGCTAAGCTTTTGCATAATGACATCCAGGAGGAAAAACATGTAATTGGTTACTTAGATATCTCTCTCACACATCTAGAGTATTCCTGAAAAGAAAAAAATGCCTCACGTTAAAAACAAATCATGATGAAATAATATGTACTTAGACCATAATAAAATACAAAGACTCGCATTCTATATGATTTCTTCTACACGGCTGCTTCGCTCTCCCTACCATGCTCCTATCTGCCTCTGTGTTTCAGACTGATGTCTTGGAAAGAACTACGACCTAACATAAAAGTTAGAAAATGTGGTACAAATTGAAAACAATG